TAAATGTGTAATCATGTGCTCAGTGTGCCAGGATTCCCTGCTATGCACTGCACAAATAAAGGGAAAATTCAGGCTTTTGCTCCTCGAGTTTGAAACCATAGCCATAGTAGCTTTATATCAACATTCCAGTTTTACAGTTATCACCTAAGCTAACAATGCAAGGGGATTAAGAACAACTGAGTCACTTCTAACACAGTCAGTTCTTAACAGTAAAAATGATTTGATGTAGAAAATGAACATTCTCTAATTGGCACTAAATAGAAGTTTCTTCAATTGCAATTAAAATAAAATGGGCACAAGTTGTGCTGGATCTGAGCCCAATGAATCCCTGCATGGAATACCTTGTTCCATTAGTTGACAGTCTTCATTAAATAAGCAAAGAAATAAGAAAAACACTTAAAAACTAGTGACGTGACATAAACTGGCAGCCACTGGTGATAGCACCTGTTTAATTACAGACAAGGAGCATGTTGAGTGGTGGGGAAGGAGGCAGAGACAATGTTGCCATAGTTTTTTCTCCTACACAATGTCCAGCAGTGATAGAGGTGTTGACTTCCCCCACACTGGGGAGCTGTGACAAACAAATGACAACCACATCCTTCCCACAACTGAAAATGTTGAGCATAGTGGCAGAATATGCTGAAGGTCCCTGCACCCAGGGTGGCTCAAAAGAAGCAATTTCATGTAGTGCTGGACTAGCTGGAGACTGGCTAATATCATCCAGGTTGGAGGGCCTTAGGCCACCAATTGTGCCCCAAGGCCTCTTCAGAGCTCAAACTGCTTCAGGCTGAACCACAGCTTCTGGGTCCTGCGGCAGGATTTTTATCATAGCCTGTTATAAAGAAAAAGGGAAAGTCTGCACTGTAGTCTTAGCTTGCTATGGCAGACAGACCCTCCAACCTGGATGAATGTTTGAAGCACCTCTGGCACAGTCCTCAGTGGCTGCTCTAAAGCATCCCTCCAACCTGGATGAATGTTTGAAGCACCTATGCCATAGTCCTCAGTGGCTGCTTTAAAGCACATATTTCACCTTTTGCATCTAAGTGGCACTGACAGAGCTGCTTAAGTACAAGTGTTTGCTCTTACATATATTATATGTTCCGTTTCCCTCAGTGACATAAAACCATGGCCTGGGCGTGCAAATGCCCAAGGCTAAACATGAAGGATGGGGAGGAAGAGGCCCTTCCCCTTCCATCCTAATTCCCTACTGGTGAAAGCACCTGCCCCTTCACCCAGAGTTTTGCTCTAGCCACAAGACCATGAGCTAAGCATTGCCCACAGCATCCTCCAGCCCTCCTCTGGGAGAACAAGAGGGCCCTGGGTTCTGGCTGATGCCTCCAGTGGCTTTGCCATACCTTGCATTTAATATCACTAAGTCAACATGGATGAATCACACAAGGAAATTCCTTCTACCTCACTAGGCAGAAGAAAACCATTTTGAGATAGACATACCTTCTCAATGTTTTCACTAGAACCAAGAGGTATTGCCAAATCCAAAACTTCAGTGACCAGTTGTCAGTCCCCACTCCCACTCCCAAACTACACAAGATTGCCTCCTCAAATGACAAGACTGTTTTAGATAGACACTTTGCAGGACAAGGCAATCTTCGGATTTCTGAACTCCCCTTGTCCACCCTGTGTATGGTCATCTGACAGTAGCTGCTACTAAGTCCTTAAAGTGATGTGATTTGGGTCCTGCTGCCCATACTGTGTTTTAATGGCTGTAACAATCTGCAGGAATTGCAGTGGGGATGGTTTGGAGGGTGACACCAGGAAGCTTCCAGGAAGCTCCATGTGTTTTGGGAATTGTACAACCCCTCTGAGCACACAATGCACTGCACAGCTGCAAGCAGCACCACTGAAGACAGTATACTTCAAGATCCAAGTTGCTACAGCCCAAATAGACTTTTATTTGCTTATTTTATCTATTTATTATTGCACAGAGCTCTGTGAATGAAACAGACTGACACTGCAGAGCTGTCTCCTTCTTCCTGGTCTAACCACTCCTACCCACCTTATAACTGAAGACAACAGCAAAGAGGGCAATTTGACTTCACTTTCTTGAGAAGCAACAAGAGGCAATGGATACCTTGAAGGAGGGTGTCTGCTCATGAGTTCATCCTCATGAAGAACAGTGAGAGATGAGAGCTATTTTACTGTGAAGGAGAAGATTCAAACATGATAAACTATAGCAAGGAGGGAACCTCTCTCTTAAGTACTTTTTTGGTTCAAAATTTACTCAAGCTACCAGAGAGAAAGAACAAAAGGGAAGGATGCATGTACATGTGCGTGAATGTTCTGAAGTTCAAAGGGTTCACAGGGTAAAGCAGCACTGGGATGTGTCTGTGCATAGGAATGCAGTGTACATACGAAAAGAGAAAACTTCAGGGGCAGATGGTCAGGGATATGTGGAGGATAGAAGTGAAAGCAGTTTGATAGATAGATAGATAGATAGATACCTGGGACTTTATATAAACCCAAACTGAGTAGCTACTACGTGCTTGTTTTGTTCTGGTACTTTTTCATCTAGCCCTGAGTGTGGATAGAGAACAAATTAAAGGTGATTCTTCATCTCTGGAAATCATTAGGAATATGGTATCATTTTTACTGGGCTTCTTGGTTTAGCATGTTGGACATTTCTATATGTTTTTAAAATTATCCGTCTGTCTGCAAAATGAGACTTTTTATGCACACTGTGCTGCCAGGGGGACCAGGAAATAAAGTCCTCAGTTCTCCTCGTATAGATTGGGTAAGACCTCCTTGCCACCACACACACACACACACACACGCAAAAAAAATCACAGATATTCACTCAACTCAGTGCCCACTTGCCTTGGTGTAATGGGATGCAAGGTACCCACTCCACAATATCAAAGGGAGTTTCTTACCTACTAAACAGATTCTCCCCATGTGAATTTTGTAACTGTGTCAAAGTCTTGCCCTTAGCTTCTTCTCAAAAAAGTTAGTACATCATATTAGAACCATAACAGGACATTTCTAAACCCCATTTTCCCTCCTCTCAATACTATACATGGGGGAGGCACACAAAGGCATAGGTTCTCACATACTGGTCATGTCCAGATGTGCACTTTAATATGCAATAGCCTATTCTACGCATTAAAATGGCATGTAAAAAAACTGTGCTAATGAATAGGTTACTGTGCATTAAGGATCGCCTCAAAAGCATGTGCTTGTGCTACTGCTCATTAGCACAGCCTAATGCACATCTATTTAGTACCTCATGTTGGAGGCACTAAATTTAATGTGTGTTAGGAAAAGCTCATTATTGCACATGTAGATGCACCCACTGCCTTCTAAAACCCAGAAGCAATGGAGCTGCGTAAATGCAGTGCTGTGCAGGCTTCGTTGAGAGCTCTGCTCCTGCTCGCTTTCCTTCTGGCACCAAGACTCCATGCTCAGCTGCCCACTGGCCCTGCTTCAGCAAGGGGGTTGTGAGATGTCCCAACCCAACCTGTAGCTTGGGTGTCAGAGTTGTTTCTTGGGAGGTGGGAGACATAACTTTGAGTCTCCTCAGGGTGAGGAAGGTCTAAGACTCAGATGTCCCTCTTCCTGAATGAGAGATTTAACTACCACAGTATTATGCTAAACTAGGGGTGAGAAAAATACAGCCCGTGGGCTGGATACAGCCTGCCAATTGATTGTATCCAGCCTGCAGCATGCCCTGTAGCACTCTGCATGGCGCTGAGCCCCACCTGCTCCAGCCCAGGGCAATCCATGCCATGCTCCTGCCTGCACCTGCCCTGTGCCCATTAATGGCACCACCCCAGCTCTGGCCAGCTACCCCAACAGGGCTACTCCAGCTGCTGCTGCAGCCACCTTCTTCTACCCTGCCTTTATTCCTCTTTGTGTTTCTTTACTACCTTCTTTTTGCCCTCTTCCTGAATGAGAGATTTAACTACCACAGTATTATGCTAAACTAGGGGTGAGAAAAATACAGCCCGTGGGCTGGATACAGCCTGCCAATTGATTGTATCCAGCCTGCAGCATGCCCTGTAGCACTCTGCATGGCGCTGAGCCCCACCTGCTCCAGCCCAGGGCAATCCATGCCATGCTCCTGCCTGCACCTGCCCTGTGCCCATTAATGGCACCACCCCAGCTCTGGCCAGCTACCCCAACAGGGCTACTCCAGCTGCTGCTGCAACCACTTCCTCTTTGTGTTTCTTTACTACCTTCATTTTCAATAGTTCATTTTGGGACAAAGACATAGACATTAGGGCTGAAAGAGACCTGACGAGATCATCAAGTCCAGCCCCCTGCTCCAGGGGCAGGAAGTCAGCAGGGGTCATAGGATCCCAGCAAGATAAGCATCCAACTTTCTCTTGAACGTGTTCAAAGTAGGTGCTTGAACCACCTCTGGTGGCAATCTATTCCAGACCTTGGGGGCTTGGACAGTAAAGAAGTTCTTCCTTATGTCC